TACTGCAGAGTACTGGAGAGTACTAGAGAGTACTGGAGAGTACTGCAGAGTACTGGAGAGTACTGGAGAGTACTGCAGAGTACTGCAGAGTACTATAGAGTACTGGAGAGTACTGCAGAGTACTGGAGAGTACTGCAGAGTACTGCAGAGTACTGGAGAGTACTGAGGAGTACTGCAGAGTACTGCAGAGTACTGAGGAGTACTGCAGAGTACTGCAGAGTACTGCAGAGTACTAGAGTACTGCAGAGTACTGGAGAGTACTGGAGAGTACTAGAGTACTGCAGAGTACTGGAGAGTACTGGGGAGTACTGCAGAGTACTGGAGAGTACTGCAGAGTACTGCAGAGTACTGGAGAGTACTGGGAGTACTGCAGAGTACTAGAGTACTGCAGAGTACTAGAGTACTGCAGAGTACTGCAGAGTACTAGAGAGTACTGGAGAGTACTGGAGAGTACTGCAGAGTACTGCAGAGTACTGGAGAGTACTGCAGAGTACTGCAGATAATAAGTAATGAAGATGATAATACTTGGGTACTTTTACTGAGGAAGGGTGTAAATCCAGTACTCTGAGTACTGTAAGACTGTAGTATTCATATTTTCCCTTCAGTACAGGCTCAGAGTATTCCCTCCTTGTGTGTGATGGATGGAGGAGGTCCTGGGAAAGGTGCTGGCTGGTCTCGGTCCAGGTCTTGGACTGAGCCAGATTAATGAACCACAAATCAACCAGGAAGAGGACGCTTTTATTGTGAAGGAGATTTAATTAAAGAGATAGTTGACCTAAAAATCATTAAAGAGGAGCAGCCCCTCAAACAGCTGATACCGGATCAGTTTTCATGTAAAACATCAAGAGTGAGACCTTTTACCTCCTCCTGCTTCTCCTCTTCCTCTCACCTCCTCTCTCTTCCTCTTCCTCTCTTCTAAACTTTCTCTCACAGCTTCTCCTTCAGTGTTTAGGGAGATCTGGATCTGATGATTGGGTTCAGTCCAGACCTCCATGTTGTCTGAAAGGAGAGGTCTGATCCCTCCTCCTCTTCCTCCTCCTCCCTCCATCCTCCCCCAGCCTGGTGTCTTTGTCTCTGTCCTTGGCAGTCTCAGCGAGTCCTCACAGCGTCTTTCACATAGGAAGAATAGCAGATTGTCTTCATTAAGGAGGACGCCTTGTTTCAGGAAGTCCAGGCCGGGAGGACTGGGGAGGAGGGGGTAGGATGGGGGAGACAGAGAGAGAAGGAGGTGAAGCAGAATGTCAAGGAGAATGTCTTTGTGTCGGGTGTTTTCCGCTCTGCGACAGCTGATTCATATTCAAATGGAGTTCTGAATGGACGGTTCACACACACATACACATTCCTGAGGAGGTGTGAAGCTGTTAGAGGAGGAAGAGGAGGAAACAAACTGACGTTCATTGTTACATTTATTATTGTTTATTGATGATCATTTACAGAACCAACAGGGAGAAACATACACAACACGTCTGTAACACATGAAAATACAAAGTCAACAAAAACATGATGGACACACGAAATACATTTAGAGTCTCTCTATGGTTGTTTTGTGTCTCTGTGGTTGTTTAGTGTCTTTGTGGTTGTTTTGTGTCTTTGTGGTTGTTTTGTGTCTCTTTGTAGTTATTTTATGTCTTTGTGGTTGTTTAGTCTTTTTGTCATTATGTCTGGGTCATTATAGTGTCTCTGTGGTTGTTTTGTGTCTTTGTGGTAGTTTTGTCTCTTTGTGGTTGTTTCATGTCTTTGAGGTTGTTTTGTATCTTTGTGGTTGTTTTGTCTCTGTGGTTGTTTTGTGTCTTTGTTGTTGTTTTGTCTCTTTGTGGTTGTTTTGTCTCTTTGTGGTTGTTTTGTGTCTTTGTGGTTGTTTTGTGTCTCTGTGGTTGTTTTGTGTCTTTGTGGTTGTTTTGTGTCTTTGTGGTTGTTTAGTGTCTTTGTCATTATGTATGGGTCATTATAGTGTCTCTGTGGTTGTTTTGTGTCTTTGAGGTTCTTTAGTCTCTTTGTGGTTGTTTTATCTCTGTGGTTGTTTTGTGTCTCTTTGTGGTTGTTTTGTGTATTTGAGGTTGTTTTGTCTCTTTGTGGTTGTTTTGTGTCTTTGAGGTTGTTTTGTGTCTCTTTGTGGTTGTATTGTGTCTTTGAGGTTGTTTTGTGTCTTTGTCATTATGTCTGGGTCATTATAGCTACGCACAGCATCCCAACAGGTCTCTATAGCAACAAAGTCAGCGATATGAGAATCAGACCTGACCTGAAACTGAACAGAGAACTTAAACTGCTCATTGGTCCAGAAGCTCTAGACTGCTGTGTTCTCATTGGACAACTGGACGTTTTTTTACTGTGAGGTAGGAGGAGCTGTCTGTCTGTCGTCAGAGGAATCGGGGGTCTCGATTGGCTCTCCTGGAGCGAAAACGGATCTCAGACAATTTGGAGTTGATGCCGGAGCCAATGACTCCTTTCTTGGCCAGAGGAAACCGAGCCAAGATGGCATCTGAGAAACAGAGAGAGGAAGACTGTGAGAGGAAAAGAGACTGAGAGAGGAGTACTGTGAGAGGAAGAGAGGAAGACTGTGAGAGGAAGATGTCAGTCTTTGAACCTACTGAAAATGGCGTTGATCTTGTGCGGGTCGAGCGCGCTGCGTTGTGGTTGAAAGGCGGGTCGGCGGCTCCGTCCACCTCGCAGGTTGCTGTTCATCAGTGTGTTCATATCAAACACACCCATTAGCAGCGTTCGCGCCATCGCCGTGGGGGACTGCGCCTGATTGGCTGCCTGCCATGAGTGGACTTCACAAAGAACCCCAGAGCCCGGATACACCTCCACCTGGCTCACCTGGACAGATTAACAGAATCTAGATCAGATTAAACCAGTTCCAGTGTGAACTGGATCAGATTAAACCAGTTCCAGTTTGAACTGGATCAGAGTTCTCACATGTCCGTTAGGGGGTCCGGCGGTACACTGGCTCTCAGAGCAACTCCTCCTCAGCTCCTCCATGTCGGTCTGTCTGCAGAGCGGTGCCTCCTCTCCCATGTGGCTCCCCAGGCCCAGGTCTGCTCTTCCTGGCCCCTCCTCATCCTCAGAGCCCAACGGGCCCCAGGACTCCAGTATGTCCCCATTCAGGTCCTCCTGCAGCTGCTGGAGGCTCACCTGGGGGCTGAGGTCTGCGTCCTGACTGGTTAAGAGCTGCTGCGAGTACGGAGCGTAACTGTCGCTCCTCCCCGTTGCCGTGGAGACGCAGTGGTGACTGTTGGCCTGGCCCAACGTCTGCCACATGGTGGACAGAAGCCCCGGGAGTTCTGGGAAATGTAGTGACATGACACAAAAATTGAAACCAGATCAAATCAATTTGAATCCAAATCAGATCAGTTTGAATTCTCCAATCTGCGATCAATAAAGTGATCTCTCTCAGTCTGTGATCGGTCTGTAATCAGTCTCTGATTGATCAGAGGTAGACCAGGTGGCAGTTATGTGGGTCTGGACTCACCGTGGACCAGCATGTTCTTCAGTCTCTGGTTCTCTGCCGACAGCTCGGCTCGCTCTCTCTCCAGCTCTCTAACCCTCGCACGCAGGAAGTGAAGCTCAGAGGTCTCTGACGGGGTTAGAACCGGCACACCGGACTCCACCTTCACCACCTGGAGGGGGGCAACAATAAATCTCAGACCTCAGCTGTTGCCATGGTGATCTCACAATTGATTGCCCTGAAGCTCATTGTGTAATGTAGTACTAATGCAGTACACTGTAGTACAATGTAATACTAATGCAGTACAATGTGCTGGGTGACTGAACAAAGGAAGAATAAACAGCTGAAGCCCACAGTTTACCACCAACGGGTTCACGTTTCTAATAGATTTTCCCCACTCAGCGACACACCCGCTGAGGAACAGACTCTGGTTATTG